AATAGAGATGCTGGATTTCAGAAGAAAATCTTTAAAGAATATTTAAAAGAATGACGGCTGGTCCGACGGTAGTGGGTCATCAGAACTTATTAACATTGGTGTCACTAAAGTTGGTATACAACCCCCCACTGCTAAATTTGACTGGCTTTTAGGGAAAAAAAAGTAAAAAAGAAAAAAAAAGAATGACACAAACAGATTTATGTCTTTTACTTTGAGCAAAAACTGTTAAGATTTGCTCAAAAGAGAGGGGTGGGGGATAAGCAACTAATACAAGACTAACATTAACTAACATGACAGAGTGAGGAAAAACGTTTTGTGGCAGTATTTAGAGGGGAATTCAGAAGCTTTTAGGCATGATACCTTTGAGATGCCTGTGAGACAGCCAAGAGTTATGCTGAGTAGCAGCTGGATGTAAGTCAGGGGCTGGAAGTTAGAAATACTGACCAAGTTATTTAAACTTACCTAAAGTGTTTATAAAATATAAATCAATAGGCCACACTCTAGATCTACTGAATAAGAAAGGGTTTGCACATCATTAACATTGTCAAGTGATTCTGATGTCAACTGGGGTCTGGGAACCACTTATGTAATAAATTTTAATGTTCTATTTCATCACCTAGGGATATACCACTTTATAAAGGAAAGCAATATATTGAGCAATATATTATGAAAATGATTTGACTTAATAATCCCAGAGCTATTTAGGCTCCTCCAGTCATACAATATTATAGAGGAAACACTTCTAATTAGCCATTTTTTCAAATGACGTTTACTGAAGGCCATTCTGAAGGTGAATAATTTCTTCTATTTTACAAATATTTTCTTGCAAAACACCCATGAAATATCTTACAAATTAGTACATCAAGGTTCAGAAAGGTGGAGTCTTGTCCAAAGTACACACAATCAATAACAAAGCCAAGATTCAAAAATCAAGACCCTAATTCCAATCTGCTTTCCACCATACAAAAATGCCACCCATCCCCAAAAAGTTCATCATCTGTGACACGTACAAAAATAATTTTAACTAGATAAAAAAAGAATGAGGCCGGGCGCAGTGGCTCACGCCCGTAATTCCAGCACTTTGGAAGTCTGAGGTGAGCGGATCACAAGGTCAAGAGATAGAGACCATCCTGGCCAACTTGGTGAAACCCCATCTCTACTAAAATACAAAAATTAGCCGGGCGTGCTACTGAGAGTCTACAGTCCCAGCTATTTGGGAGGCTGAGGCAGGAGAATTGCTTGAACCTGGGAGGCGGAGGTTGCAGTGAGCGGTGATCACACCACTGCACTCCAGCCTGGCGCCTAGCGACAGAGCAAGACTGTCTCAAAAAAAAAAAAAGGAGTACCTTAAGGGAAACAGGACAATCAGAATTAAGCAAAAATTATTTCTTCATTTCCACTACTTAAAACTTTTTTAACTGCAGAAACTATATACTCCACCACTCATCCACAAACGCTCCTAAATAGACAGCATAAGTGTTTGAATCATATACAAAAAGTCGTGGACTGTTTCCTAATTCACTGTACAATCTCTCCACATATTTAGGCACTTTTCGAGGATATAAATAAAAGGGAGCCTGTACAGTGACTTTGGCTTCAGAAAGCTCTGTGTAGGCCCCAGCTCACAATCCGCCCACTAACAGCAAAAATTTGTGAGGACACGAGGTTAAAGACCTATACATATACTTTTAAAATAGTCATTATCACTTACAGTTATTGTAAGAGCATGCAAATAGTAACCTATGGCTGTCTGAGATTTTAACACAAAATGTTGGATTTTGCTTTATTTTAGGTATATACTTCAAACTATCTACCTTAATACTGTGCTACTAGTGTGTTTCCTACAATGTTTACGAATCCTCTTTGCTGACCACCCCTGGTCTAGAATTCATCCCTCAACTACAAGATCAGAGTCCTCTTTACTTACCCTTTCCTAACAGTTCTAAAGCTTGTAACAACTCGTTACCCCGGGGGTGGGGGTTAAGTTCCTTGAAAGCAGAAGCTGTGTCTCGTTCAATTCTCATTCATTCAGGCCGGGCACGGTGGCTCAAACCTGTAATCCCAGCACTTTGGAGGCTGAGGCGGGTGGATCACAAGATCAAGAGATCGAGACCATCCTGGTCAACATGGGGAAACCCCGTCTCTACTAAAAATATATATATACAAAAAATTAGCTGGGCATGGTGGCGCGTGCCTGTAATCCCAGCTACTCAGGAGGCTGAGGCAGAAGAATTGCCTGAACCCAGGAGGCAGAGGTTGCGGTGAGCCGAGATCGTACCATTGCATTCCAGCCTGGGTAACCGGAGCGAAACTCGGTCTCAAAAAAAAAAATTCTCATTCATTCATCTGAGTACTACCATGTGCTTTACACTAATCTAGGTCCTAGGAATACAGCAGTGAACAAAACCAAGTTCCTGCCCTCTCAGAGCTTATACTCGAATAAGATAAGACAGACAGAAAAACAAATAAATAGATATCAGTTAGGAATAAATGCCATACTATTTTAAAAGGGGAGTAGGTGGGTTACCGAGTCTTGTGAAAGCTGGACAAGTTGCTATTTTACATAGAGAAAGCCTCACGTATATTAGAACCTGCAATAAGTGGAGCAGCCACACAGGTATCTGGAAGAGAGGAGTCATCCAGACAGAGGGAAAAGCAAGCGCAAAGGCGATGAGGCGGGAACATACTTCTTGTGTGGCAAGAAGAGTTTTAGGCAAATGTGTGTGTGGTTCTGAGGACAGAGACCCATGAGAGGGCAGGCTCTGAGAGCAGAAGAATGACATGATCTGAAAGCATCACAGAGGCTTCTGTGTGAAGAATAAAGAACAAAAGCAGTGTGCCTCATTAGAGCACTGCAGTAATCCAGGAGAGAGAGTGATGACGAACCAAGAGAATGATGATGGCAGTGATGATGACGGTGGTAGTGGTGGTGATGAAGAAGGAGGTGGAGAAGGAGGAAGAGGAGGAGGAGGAGGAGGAGGAGGAGGAGGAGGAGGAGGAGGAGGAGGAGCAGCAGCAGCAGCAGCAGCAGCAGCAGCAGCAGCAGCAGCAGCAGCAGCAGCAGCAGCAGCTGGAGTCTGGTTAGGTTTTGAAGATAGAGCCCACAACATTTGCTGATGAACTGTATGTGAAGAAAGAGAAAGAAAAGAATCAATGAGAGGTTTTTAAAAGGTTTGGGAAGCGTGGGATTCCCATTAGGATAAGGAAGTCAGAAGCAATCTCAGAAAGTGTCTAGTACATAGTAGACACTCAAATATATGAGAATTCAGTTTAACTTAACTCCCAAAATAAAGCAAGTAATCTCAATGTATTGGTTTCTATTTGCTCTAATATTCTTTGAGTAACATTTGCTAGTTACACAAAGAGACTTAACCACGACCATACAGTTTACTGTGAGTGTTAACAAAGAAATCCTATACTGGACCCAGCAACTAATCCTTACCTCTCAAAAGTCATTTTCAGATTTAAATCTACGATTCTTCTGGACATAAAAGAAATCCATTTTGAAAGTTTTGTGACAGCCTGAGGATTCTTACACCCAAAGTAATTAACCTGTTCACTAATGATGTCGTATTCCTGGAAGGTATAGTAGTGCAAATGGAACTCCCTAGGCCAGAATTAATTGAAAATTATAACACTTCACCATACATTTTCAGAATGCAACAAGACTGAACAAGTCCCCCTAATAAAATAAGCCACAAGACATCAGCATTTCTTAATGGCTTTTTTTAAACCTCAAACAATAAGTCCCTTCAAAACAATTTCAATGAAAAATGTGAATCTGTTTGAGAATGTGAAATGCAGCACATCTTCCCCCAAGCAGACACCTTTCCTGCCAATTAGTGAAACTAAGCGTTGCTTAGGAAAGAATTGGGTGTCCTCACCTTTTGCACTTCTCATAGTGGTATTCCTGAATTTTCCAACTCAACACCCAGTGTCTAGCTCCACGAAGAACCCCAAAGTTAGCAGAAATATATTCAAAGGAATTCTCCTAAAATAAAAAGTTCAGATCCTTTCCACCCCTACGATTACTTTAAAATTTTATATAAAGCTTTAAGTATCATTTCTGTCCACATGAGTTTCCCTAACGCCCCACCTAACCTAAAACGGTTTAAAAACTGCAATTAATAACTTTCAATGTCGCTTTAAAAACACAGATGATTCAGAGGAGCTGATCGCACCGAATTCAGCAACAGGCAGTACTATCCCTACTCCTATCCGCCGAAGACCTTGAACCAACCCAAACAAATCCGCTGAAATGCCAGCCAGATTCCCCGTATCTCCCCGCTCCCTCCCCCAGGGAGACCAGGAAGCACCACGGCCACCGGAGACGGGACTGAACAAAAAAAAAAAAGAACCGCTGGGGACGAAGCACAACGGTTTTGTAGAGGCAGGAAGGTTCCAAGCCGTGTTTTCCACCACCACCCAGGACCAAGAACGAGCCCGGACGACCCCCTCCACACACACACTCAAAGCAGAGCCGCACGGTCCCCCGCGCTCCCGGGGCTCCGCACGCGGATTAGCGGCGAGACCGCGGGCGGCCTCTCCGGGGTGTCTGGGGAGCCCGGGGCTAGGGCCGCGGCGGGGGCGGGCAGTGCTGGGCGCTCCCGGGACCTAGCGTGCCAAGGGTGGAAGCGGCGTCCCCTAAACGCGCAGAACGCTCGGCGCCTGCCACACAGCCCCACGGGCGGGGGGCCCCGCCGGGTGGCCTCGTGAGGGACCCCACGAGGAGGAGCCTAGGACGCTGCCCGTTTCCCAGTGAGCGGGCGGGGGCTGCCGTGGGCTCGTTGCTTGCTTCATCGCCGAAACCCGGGAAGCCCCGAAGAGAGGAGTGGGGAGCACTCCCCGAACGGAGGTGTGGGCGCTGGGGTGCTCACGCCAAGCGGGTGGCGGCCCCGGGGGGACGAGAGACCCGGGAAAAAGAGGAAGAGGGCGCGACCCCAGCGCCGCCCCGCCGGCCCGGGGGGAAGGAGCCACCCGCTCCCCGCCCCCACACTCACCATGTAGAGGGTGAAGGGCAGGCCCAGCAGAAACAGCCACAGGTAGAGGTGCAGCGCGTTCACGAAGGTGGCCTGGTGCGGGTCGTAATACCAGCCCCCGCTGAGCGCGGCCCACACCCCCTGTCGGAGGATCTGCAGCGTCTGCGACCCCATCCCCACCCGGCGCCGCCGCCGCCGCCTCCGCCGCCGCCGCCGTCCCCGCCCCGGCCCCAGCTCGGCCTCGGTCGCCGGAGCCTGCAGCTGCCCCGTCTATCCCCCTCCGGAGCTCCGGGAGGGCGAGCCGGCGCCTCGGCGGTCGTTGGTGCTGCTGCAGGAGGAGGAGGAGGCAGCGAAAGAGGAGGAGGAGACCCGGGAGGAGGAGGCGGCGAGCGGCGGGGAGGAGGACGGCGGAGAGGAGGAGACCGGCCTCCTGAACGCCGCCGCCATCTTGTCTCCTAACACCCAGAGCCGCGGCCAGGCCCCCGCCACCCGCGGCCCGCCAGCGCCCCCGCCGCCGCTGCCGCCGCCGCGACCCCCGCCGGCCGCCAGTCCTGGGCCAGGCGGAGAAGGAGGCCCGACGCCCGGGAGCGACGGGGAGGAAGCCGCGCCCCCTCCAGCTCCTCCTCTCCGCTTCCCCCGCCCCCTGGGCCGGCTCCCGGCCGGTGCTTGCAGCGCCTGGGCCGCCGCGGGCGCCTCCTGCCGACGTCCCAGAGAAGCGCGCGCCGATGCGGCCCGGGGTCAGGCCGGGGGGGCGCTGCGGAGGTGGCGAAGACGCGGCTGGGGGGTACAGGGGACCCCATTCTGCCGCCGTAGGCCCGCTGGCAAGCTCACCTACCAGTCTCTAAACGGGGTCTTTCCTACTCCTAAACTAACAGATATTGACTCCAGAAAAGTGTCCTGGCTGTCATTTATGATATTTATCAAAGACCTAAGACCAACTGAAGCTGACATCTGAGATACTCACTGAAGGCCTGGAAGAATTGGGTACGGCAGATGACACTGTTGAAAATTCACAAACGCACCCAAGTTGAGCAAGAACTGTGTTGGCCCGTGTGTGAAAAAATAGCCATGTCCAGATTGGGAGAATTTACTACTTCCAAAGGAAGTTAATAGAAGTGGCACGAGACCTGAAAGTACAGAGTGGACAGGTTATCATTTGTACTCGGTGATTGTATTTTTAAATGTGCTGTAACTGGTAGCCATTTTTATCAATGGGCCAATCTAAACAGGGTTGAAAAAGATTAACTGTGACTCTACCTCAAACGACAATAGCGTCTTGCAGGTCTCTTTTTATAGCTGTAAAAACGGAATCATTCTTGGCTCTGTAGAATGTTTATAAGGCGTGTCTGATCTCATTGAATAAAATTTTCTTAAAAAGAGTTTGAAGTTTGACTTTTATGGTAATAAAAGTACTTTGTATTCCCAGATTAAAGTTGCTGTAATTAATGAGGGAAACGAGAGCCAAAGGAAACTAGTAATATTTTAAGAAGAGTAATGAAAAACCATCACAATACCTCCCAGTGCCATACCACTTTATAGCTGATCAAACACTATCACACGCATTTCATTCAGAACTTCAGGACAATCCTTTGAGGGCAGCATAGCAGCTGTTGTTATTTTATGGATGAGAAAACCTAAACTCAAGTAAGTGATTGGTCAAGTGCTTATGGCCACTTATTGCTGATAAGCAAAAAGTGGTTGAGAACTCTAAAACCAGCAGTCACCATAACTGCATGAACTGAACTTTGGAAGTTCATTTCTCTAGGCTCTCCACCTTATCCATTTCAGGTAAAAGTCTGAACTGATTAAGAACTGCTCAGCACCTTCTGGTTATCTGTGACTAGCTTAAATATATGAGCAGTTGTCATCAAAGGGCAAATTCTTAGGGCAGTGCTCCATAGAAACTCTATGGGGTGTGACCCAGCAATCTGTTTTAACAAGCCCTTTGGAGGATTCTAATGTACCTTAAAGGTTGAAGCTATCACTGTAAAACACCACACCATCCCTAGCCTTGATTTATCTCATAATCACAAAGCCACTGAGTTCCAATAAGATATCTTGAAATTGAGAGATGCGAGTAAACACCAGACAAAATATACTTTAAAGTGTATTTGTATATCTAAAAGCAAAATTATGATTAAATAATGCAATTTTACAATTAAAATAGTGGCCTTGAAGCTGGTGTCATGGATACCAGCTATTGCCAAGTTTTCATTTGTTTCCCCTTAAAGGAGACAGGAAAGCTCTCTGAGAAGGTTTTGGAAGTAATCCCAACCTTTCTAACACAAAGGAAGATGTAAACAAGGATAAAATTCCAATACCACATCAGTTTCCACACCAGCAACGATCTGCTGTGGTTTAATATAAAAGGATTAACTGTAATGAGGGTGAGGTGGATGGGGAAAAAGGGAAACTAGAACCAGATACATGCATGCAATTGGAGGCCAACCCAGCTGGCGTGTTAAACGTTCAGCCAGAATGCGGTATCTGGAGGATATGGAACCGGCAGCAGGCCAGGAAGGCAGCCGGCATCAGGCCTGTTAAACAGAGAATGTGGGTGCTGTAAGCCAATGGACAGCTGGAACACACAGTCTTGGAAAATCCAGGAGTGGGCAAAAATTGGGAAATCATGGCAAGCCTTGAGAAAATGTGTCGCTTATAGCAAGGCTCCAGCTTCAACGCTGGGGTTTTCTAGGTCTGCCCTCTAGTTTCTTCAGGGAACTGATGAAAATAAATAGAATTCAGATCTTAGAGCTACTAGGCAAGTTTGGGGACCCAACAGAACAAATATCCAAAGGCTGGATCTGGGGGGACAGAGTGAGACTTACAAACAAGGCGGGAGCTTGATACCTAGAACTACGACCGAATTTCACACTGACTGTGGTTGCGTTATTCTGACACCCCAAAGTGTTAATATAAAACTCTACCCTCCAAAATGACTGGGATCGATCCCAGAACCTAGAGGTGGGAGTCACATGGCAGTAGCCAGTGGGTGAAAGGGGTTAGCAGAATTGACAGGCCCAGAGAGTGGAAAAGGCAGTTAGAGACACATCTTTTTTTTTTTTTTTTGAGACGGAGTTTTGCTCTTGTTACCCAAGCTGGAGTGCAATGGCATGATCTCGGCTCACGGCGCAACTCAGCCTCCTGGGTTCAGGCAATTCTCCTCCCTCAGCCTCCTGAGTAGCTGGGATTAGGGGAACGCACCACCGTGCCCAGCTAATTTTTTTTTTTTTTTTGTATTTTTTAGTAGAGACGGGGTTTCACCATGTTGACCAGGATGGTCTCGATCTCTTGACCTCATGATCCACCCGCCTCGGCCTCCCAAAGTGCCGGGATTACAGGCGTGAGCCACCACACCCGGCCCTAGAGACTACATCTTTCAGCTCTGGACTGGTAGGAACATATTAGAAAAAATGCTAATTAACTGACTTAGAGAGTAGCAGTTGAAAATATCCAGTGAAAAAGCTGACCTTTCCAAATGACTGACTCAGTCACTGGGGTGAGGGGGAGAGAAGCAATCCTACAGTGCTCTCCGTAGTTCTCAAAATGTTTGTGAATGCTGCCACAACAAACTTCGTATTTTATAAACTAGAAGCTAAGGCACAGAGAGGTCAAATGGTTTGTCCAAGGTAGCATACTCTATCATGCCCATAAAGAGCAGGACAAAAATCCAGGGAACTAATTTTGCTAAGTGTTAACCCTCTTAGCCATGCATAGAAGCCATTAATAATGTTACGCTTAGCATGTCAAAGTTAGCAGCCATGACATACTACCAAATCACCATTTGACATTTGCTCATCTTCAGCTAATCCTATTAAAATCATATTTTCTGACTAGCTCATAGGCCTCCTGGGGACTGAGAGTAGTTGACAGCAGATGCTCTCTCCTGCCTGAAAAGGACAAAGCTGAATGTACAATATCTAATAACCCCACCCAAGCCCACCTTGGAGCAGAGTCGTGCAAACTGCAGCTCTGATCAATTTTGTGTGTCAGTTATCTACTTTAGACATATGGGCCACATGTCCTGCCAATGATCCCAATGCAGTAAGTATCCATGTCTTCCCCCAGACTGACCCCTTTTCTTTCTCTTAGTGAAAACATTTCCAGCTCACTCAGACTTGGAACCTCATACATCCTTCCCATTGTCTATCCTCCACAGTCTCTCCTGCTCATCCCTTCCTTTAGGTTGCCAGATCAACCATTCTGTTGATCTGGCAACGTAAGATCAACTCATATCCAGCAGTCTCTTATTGCCACCAATGTCTCCTCTTCTAAGCCATTCTACCTTCCACCAACAAATAATCTCCCTAATCCACTTTTCTTAAAAACCTTTAATTCCCTTCAGGACTAAAGGGATACTCCTTAGCCGGGCAAAGTCCCCAGCAACCTGAATCACTATATTCTGCAACTTAACTGCTGCCATTTCCCAGCACAAACCCTTTTTATTGGTGAATATCAGTATAACTATGTATGTTTATCAGCCCAATCAGTTATTAATTTCTGCCTCTGTGCTTTTACTGACACCATTTGCCTTACTTAGAAAGCGTTATCCCTTCACCTACCTACTAAAATCCACTATGACTACTCCAAACCCATTCTTCTACTTTTTGAACAGCCTAGAGCACTCACATGTTCCACTCATTTAGCACTTAATTGTGTGCTACTTCATATCCCTCCATCCAAACTGTACATTCCTTGAGGGCAAGGCATTTCTCAGCATGTCCCACAGGGTCTACCAGAGAAAGCTGTTAGCATCAATTAACACTCAGTTCATATACATTGATGAAATAAAGCACAGAAACCAATAGCTTTCCAATTAGAGATTTTAATCTGTTTGTGTCATTCATTTGATAACTCTTCAACATTTCAAAGCATTTTACAAGCTTAGAAAAGCAGTTCAAGGAAGGAAAAAATAGTATGAAATGAAGGTAAAAAGAATTTGGAAGAGAATGCTGGGCATGGTGGCTCACACCTATAATCCCAACATCTTGGGAGGCCTAGCTGGAAGGATCTCTTGAGCCCAGGAGTTTGAGATTAGACTGGGCAACATGGGTGAAACCTTATCTCTACAAAAAATACAAAAATAAGCTGGGCATGGTGGCACGTGCCTGTGGTCTCAGCAACGCAGGATGCAGAAGTGGAGGATCACCTGAGCCTGGAAAGTCAAGAATGCAGTGAGCTGTGATTGCACACTCCAGCTTCAGTGACAGAATTCGACCCTGTCACAAAAAAAAAAGAAAAAGAAAAAGAAAGCAAGAAATGAAATGAAAAAAAGGGAAGAAACAAACAATAAGAGAAGTACCTTAGAATTCTTCCCTAGATCTCTTTTTTGCCATTTGCTGGGTACTGCTTTATATCACATCAGGAAAATAAATATCAAATGGAAACTTCCCAAATCTCACATAATATAATTATAACATACCATCATCTGGATATGGATCTAAACAAGTGAAAATAAAAGACTTTCTTACTAACTAGGAGATGATTCTTCTTGGAAATCTCAACCCAATCTCTCTCTTTTTTTTTTTTTAAATGTCAACTCCATATGAGTAATTTAAAATACGTTTTTAGTGACACCGACTAGTTTAGTAATTCTTGTTGTGGTTTTGTGTCACCCTGAGAGTGT